CCTGACATGGCTACAGCCAGGTCCCCCCACCTCCTCCCACCCCTAGACTAACAGCTGATAAGGCACCACTGTGAGCCTCTAGCCTGGCCCCCAGAGAACCCGGCCAGAGACCCACCCAGCTGATTAGCAGAGCGCCCCCAGCTGTTTTGTTTCTACAAGTGGTGCACACCACCTTGGTGCAAAACCAAAATTATTCCGCACATGGATGGAAAAGCTGAGAGAACATTGCCCACAAACCCTGCTAAAATGTTCCAATGACTAATTCCTGCTAACAATCGGAACCTTATTTCCACCCTAGATTCAGCTTCTAGCCTCTGGATCTTGTAAGACCATTGTCTGCTCCCTAGAAGTCCTGAGCAAATGTGTCCCCCCCGGCAGGTTCTGATCCACTGGGATCAAGTTGCCCATTAGCCTTTGTCATAACCGTGAGGGTTAGCCAGCAGCCTGGGGACTAAGGGGTTAACTGTACCTAGCCAGGTAGCGGTTAGCCAATAGAAATGCAGATAGGGATTTCAAACGGAGACAAAGGAATTTGGGGGTTTTCCCCTCATTTGTCTCTGGGCAGTTGACTCTCCAAATACTGAGGGGGACAGACAACATGTGTCTCTCCGAGAAAAGACTCTTCACTATCTGTAAGTAGGGTAAAGTTTAGATACATCCGTTAGGTTTTATTGTTTGGGAATCTGATGTCTGTGCATTTAGAAATGGGTTTTCCTCTCCCCGTGAGAATACTAATCGGTGGCTCTTACCATCTAGCCAATCCAGCTATGCTTGTAACAGGAGTACTGCGGTGATGATAAAAGTTCTTTCTTTTTTATTAACCTGGTATTGGTCAATTTGTGTCTCCTGATTTTACTTTAGGGCTGAGATTTCCCAAGTGATCTCTTCCCTGGTTTTCTTACCATTACTTGGGTGGTGGCAGCGGATTTTTATCCCCAAAATCTAGGGTTTGAGGATTTTGGGGGAAGTTTTATACCAAAGCCTGGAAGGAGAAGGTTTTGGGGTACTTTTGC